TCTTTCTCCAGAAGCATCGAGGAACTTCAGGCGCCCGGTTACAAGCGCAACCATTCCACCGAACTCATCCAGCAGCGCGCTGCCGAAAAGGAGCGCGAACGCGAGGCGAATCAGAACGGCAGGCCCGGGACGATTCATCGTATGCAGTTCACTTTCAGCGTCGACCAGCCAGCCCCGCCGTCTGCTACCCCTGTTAAGAAACCCGATTTAAAGCCGTCTCCCGAGTTCAAGGACAACGCTATCAAGCGTGGCCGCCCTGCAACCCGGTCTGCCACTGCCGCCGCCGCTGCCACCACCGATGACTCCGCCGAAAAAGACCCGCCGCTCACCCAACGCGGTCGCAAGTCGACGACCTCTACTGCCGAGTTTCGCCAGAGCCTCCACGACGATATCTACTCCTCTGTTTCTCTCCGGTTTCCGTCTCTGTTCTCTAACGACTTTGGCCCCGCGGCTCTCCTGTATCCCACCCCTACTGTGACGAACGCTATGACTTACGGCGAAGGCGTTGGCCTTGGCGCCCATATGAACACCGACGGCTTCAGTATCCCGCGTCCCACCATTGAGTTGCCTTTGGACGAGCTACTTAACGCTGACAGCCCGAGCGGCTGGGCCTCCGGCTTTACCACTCATCGTGACCACCCAGCCGAGCATCAAGACGGAAATGAAGATGTTGAGATGCGTCATGAGAACTCCTTCCCGTCGACGAAAGGCACTGGGCGTGCGGCTGGCGACGAGGACGATGATACGCTTCTCACGTCTGCTACAGTTCTCCGCAACGCCCCTCTCTCCACGCCCATGGAGGACCTCGTTCCACGCACTATCACTCCGACCCGTCTTGGAGGCAACAACGGTTCTGCGAATTCAACGGCAACGGGCAAGCGGCCGTCACTCAGCGTGCGTACGCAGTCTGCGAGCACTCGCTCGTCAGGTCCCAGCGCTACGCCTGTTAATGGCGTGGGCTCGTCTCAGCAAAGCGCCAACAACTCTGCGCCTGGCGGTGTCAAGGCCGAGTGTTCGAATTGTGGTGCCACTCACACCCCGCTCTGGCGCCGGGGACTGAATGATGAACTAAATTGCAATGCTTGTGGTCTCTACTGCAAGTTGGTGAGTCATTGGTGCTTCGTGTGCCCCATGCGGCCTCTGTCTTACCATCATTTCCAGCATAAGCGCCCCCGGCCGAAGAGTATGAGGAACAACCACGGTGAGGGGCGCGCGCAGAATGCTCCTCGGCAGGAGAGCCAGGAAGTCGTCGGTTCGTGTTACGTGTTATACGTCTGATGAATTTGATCGGTTGACGCGGCCCCGCAGCTCAATGTTACAACTGCCATACGACGGCAACCCCGCTGTGGAGGAAGGACGACGAAGGCAAGACGGTGTGCAACGCGTGAGTATTTGTGTTGGCGATGCTTGACACGACTGACGCTTCTTGTTCATCTCATCAGGTGTGGCTTATAGTAAGCCCCTTATCTTGGGTGTGTTCCCAGCATTGAATGACTAACGTTACGTGTAACAGCTACAAGCTCCACGGGTCAGCGCGGCCTATCTCCATGAAGTCGGACGTCATCCGCAAACGCGCGCGACATGACGCTCGTCGAGTGGGCAGCGGGCCTTCGGAGACGCCTTCTGCGAGCCCTGGTGCGAGCCGGCGTGCATCGCCTTCGATGGAGGCGACGCCGACGCTGGCGCCCGACTCGACCACGCAGATGTCTTTTGGGAGCACGAACACGAGCGGGGGGGAGGACGTCGAGTTCCGGTCGTCGTTGCAGTCGGAGCTGATGGGAGCGCTCGGGACGAACAACAACACGCAGAACAACTCGTACGGCAACCAGAACTTTGGGTTTTCCTCGACGTATTCGGCGTTCCCGGGGCCGTACCACCCCGACTATTTGTCGCAGATATACAATGTGCATTCGGACCCACTGCCGTTCGCGGCGTCTGGGGACGTGTCTGACGCGGACAACAACTCGGGGACGGAAGCGAGGACGAACAAGCGGCGGCGGATGAGCAACGACTCTGCGTCTGAGCCGCCGTCGTCTGCGGTGTCGTACTCGTCGTACTCGGACTCGTTCACGTCAGCGTCTTCGTCAGCGTCTGCGTCGCAGCGGTCGTCTGTGGACTTTCCATACAACCCGTACTCGACGTACGGGCTGCTGCGGGGGAACAACAACAACGCGATGTGGCACCCACCGATGCTGCCGCCGGACAGCAGCAGCTCGCCGTCGTTTGTGCACCCGCCGATGGTTGCGGCGGAGCACTCGCCGAACATCTTCCTGCAGTCGCAGGGGCTGCAGCACGACGACACGGACGTGCTGTTTGCGACGTACATGCATCCGCCGATGCTGCCGCCGGACGACTCGCCGCAGATGAACGGGCTGCAGCTGCACCCGCCGATGCTGCCGAGCGACTGGAAGAGCGTGGGCGCGGGGGACTTTTACGACACGCCGATGGTGACGTTTTGACGACGAGGCCGGGCGGTTGGACGGACGGCTGTTATGCCCGCGAAGAGCCCTGCGGGGCGCGCCGAAAGGACGGCGTGCGCACGCGTCTGCTACAGTACGATTCGCTGCTCGCGCGCGCGCGAGCATATATAATCCGGTGTCGGCGTCTGTGGGGGGGTGCGCGCCGACGATTTCCCGTGTAGAAGTACGTGTCACGAACGACCGGCATAACATTCTCGTGCGTTCTGTTTTCTCGATCTTTCCCGAGCATTTTGGGTTTCCTGCATCCGCATCCATCCGTCTGCGCATCTGCTGTCTTTCCTCCTCCCCCTCCCCCTCCCCCCGCCTGCTCTTGCTGCATCGTGGCCCTGTTCTCCTCTCCTCTCCTCTCCTCTGTGCGTGTGTGTGTGTTTTTACCTTGTGTGTTTTCTCCTCTCGCGTATCTTGCAGTCTGTCGAGTCTCTTCCTTCCTCTTCCTCCCGTATAGCCGTAATGCCCCTTCCCCTTCGCCATGCGGTGCCCGCGGCGGTGCCCGTGTACATGTGCCGTGCGTCGTCGTCGTCGTGCATGCCGGTCGCGCGTCTGTCGTCCGTGTTTCGGTCCGTAGTGTGTCCATCCATCTCTGTTTATATAAGTACATGCGAATAGGTGTATGAGCCGTATGTGTAGTAGCAGTAGCAGCAGTAGGTAGTACCGCGAAGGGCTTCGCGCTTCAAGCCCCCCATGAATAGATAACTTGTGGTGCCGTCCGCGCGGCGCGCCGTGATACCCCCTCCCCCCCATCGGTGGCGTGTGTGTCCGACCGATGTTTTTTTTTCGCCCTGCACGCGTATCAGGGGCACGGCGAGGTGGCCGCCGGACCGAAGCCGCTGTGGGTGCGAGAGCGCGGGCTTGGCGGGCGTGCGGTGATGGTGTCGGGCGGGCACGCAGGCGGTCCGCGGCGTCCGGAGCCCCAGGGCCAGGCACGTTCGCAGGCGGAGCGCGGTCTGTCATCGACATCGACATCGACATTGACACCGGATCGTCTTTCTCTTTCCCTCGTGCCGACACCGAGGCGGCAGGCTGGGCGCCGCGGGCACGCCTATTTCGGGGCGGGCCACGTTCGTCGTGGGGGGTGAAGGCGAGCTGCTGGGCCTGGGGGCGCGCATGGGCTCTCGACCGGCTACTCAACGGGACGGCGCGTGCACCTGGGCGGGTGCGGCGTGCGGACGGCAGCAGGAGGCAGGCGCACGCGTGGGGATGGGAGCCCGTCGGGGGCAGAGGAGGAATTGGGGGCATGGGGTGCGTCATGGGTAGAAGCAGCACCCTGGGCTTGGACTTGGGCTTGGGCTCGCGCTCGCGCGGGAGAAATCGCGGACGGGGCACGCATCAGGATCTGCGCTGTGCGGCGACGGCAATGCACAGCTGGGCGCCGTGGGTCGGGCATGGACGATGACGTCTGGGACATGCGCGGGCAGCGTTTGTCAGAGGCGACCAGGCCATCGACATCAGCGAGGCGTTCGTCAGAGGCGA